CAGTCAGCACAGCCTTAAACGCCTGCAGAATAATTTGTTGGTATTTGTGGCACAAAGTTTACTGGCCACATCCAGGGCTGCGTCCGCATGATGTGCTGCATTATTAGACCAGGATTTTGTGACAAGTATCTCCCCGCATCTGAACGAGAAGTTGTCAAACCCTTTGTCACTAACAAGGAGCTGCTCCTGGGACTGATAAAGATCAAATCCTTCCCAGAAACAACTATCATTCCTCTCATTAGCTGCTGTGGTTACCGGAGCGGGGGGGCACTTGCACAATTTGCAGTGTTAGAGGCAGTTTGCTGAGCTCTGGATCTGAGCCTCATGGAGGGAGGAGAGGCAATGACATGGCAAGGCTGGAGACCAGCAGGAGCTTTGCTCCTGTGCTGGGAACTGGGTGCAGGGAGCCCTGAAGCTGTGGGCAGACACTGTCTGGAAAGCTGAGCCCTGCCAGCCCTTGCCAGTGTGACAGAGCTGCTGGTGGACAGGGAAACCTGCCTGGCCAGATTTTTCCAGAGGCTGCAGGATCCACGGTATACCAAACCTGGCCAGACCTCACTGGGATGGCACTTCTGCCAAAAGTCTGTTTATAAAAATGTGGGCTGGGGCTGTTTATCCGCGTCGGTGAGGGGAATGGTTTGTGTCTGGGGAGGGCGGGGCAGTCGGCGGGACGGCTAATTCTATTTGGGTTTTGGCAGGGGGCAGGAAGAGGGTGGGCCTGGGAAAGGCCTGAAGGGAGAAGGCACTGGCTGCCCAGCCTGGTCCCCCCCTGCCACACGGCTCTGGCATCGCTCTCAGTGGATGACAGGGGGTCCAAGCAGCTGAGTCCCCCGAGTGCCACGGAGAGTCCTCGAAAGCGTCAGCCCTAACACAGGGAATATGTGAGCACTGTCTGACAGCAGCGCTGAGGGGGACAAGCATGACGGCACGTCCGGCAGACTGTGTCCATCCACCATGACTTCATCCCTCTGAGTCATCTGCTGGGCAGGCAGGCAGCTCCTCCAGCTGTCCATCCACCGCCGACCGGCCGCGGCCAGCGAGAGCATCCACGGCTTTGCCTGGTGGGATGGATCTCCACTTCCCCATCCCAGCACTGCACGGGAGCCCCACAGCTTCTCCCCCTGGGAATTCACCACCACTGTCACAGGAATCATAACTGGTGTTCTGTGGCTGCTCCACGGTCAGGAGGGCAACACTACTCCATAATCAAAGGACGTTTACTCTAGAATAAAAACCTCGCACTCCAAACAGAATAATTGTGTTAAAGGAGAGTCACTTTCCTTCCAGCCCGGTTTCAACCCAATGCTTGTGCTCCCACAGCCCAGCGAAACAGCTTCTCAAAGAGTGAAGCACATGGTGCTTCAGTTTTGGTGCCCCTCACTACAGAATTCAGTGTTCACAGAGACACTATTTGAAACACCCTGGAGAGTGACTGCCACAGCCCCTCAGCTGACACATCCACACAAGGCCCTTTCATTACAAGCCCATGCAAATGTATGCTTATTACTGTGCACTGACTTTTGAATCAGATTGCTTTACCATAGCACAAATTCTTTTCTCTTTTCTCCAATCAGAAATGACAACTAGGAAGCTATTCTCCTCTTCCCATCACTTCTCCCCTTGAAGAGTTAAATTGCCTTTTCCACACAAGAACAGAGGATTATTTTAGCAAGATCTCAATCTTGGAAGCATTATGCATCCTGACCCATAGGATGTGGGCACTGATGGGTGCCTGGGAAGGCTGTGTGCCGGGAGCATGCGCCTTGCCTCGGAGCGGGCGGCTGCTCCCTTTTCTGACAAACTGGAAGCAGAATCCAATGAAGCCCCCGCTCTTGGCAGGAGATTTTTAGCAATAAGTAGCAGCTTTATGAGGAATATCCTTTGCCAGGGGACCATCAGCCAGGGAGCAGTGGGATTCTTATTTTTTAATGGACTTTTAATAAGTAGGCCACAATGATAGTCTTGACACCAGAGTAGCTTTATTTCTATGTGTAATTATCTCCCCTTCTCTCTCAAGCTCCCTGCAGCCTCCAAGAGCAAATAAGACCACCAACCTCTCCGTGAGAAAAGGAGCAAAAAAACCAGCATAGGGCCACTTGAAATGCTCTTTGTATCAGATCTCATTCGCTCCTCTCATCTGATACAAAAGCCAACCTCTCCTCCCCTGCTCTAAATTAATTAAATCTCAGCTTTTGGCGTTTAAACTGCTTGAACCCTTACCAGCAGGGAAATCTGTGCTTGGAGCATGAGCAACACTGGGAACACCGTGCCATGCGTCCCAATCCTGCAGAAAGACTCTCTGCAGTCCTGTCCCTGCACATTGCCCATCCCTGTGCTGTCCCACCGTGTCTCCTTTTCTTCATCCCAACACCATTTCTAGTGGCTAAAACTGGGCAGGTAACAGCAGAGCTGTTGGTGCTGGGTCAGCCAATGCTGCTGCTCCTCAGTCACTGTCCCCACGCCTCACCAGGCCACATGGAAAACGGGATGAGGGACCTGCACAGGGTTATAAATAATCCAGGACCCCCTGGGAACAAGCAGGAGGATAGGCAGCCAAGATGCTGGCTGAGCCTCTGGGATGGTTTACTCCCAAGGGAGCAGAACTTCTGCAGCACAGACAGAATTTGAGCAGCCACCAAAGAGACTAACTAAGCAAAAATCCCACCAGAAGCATCCCTCTAATCCCAGTCCTTTGGGTTTGCCAGTATCTAACCTCTCCTGTGCTGGTCTGCACAGCTGCACACCAATCCAGCCTGGCCTGGGAAAACAGACCCCAAGGGCACCACACTCAGGGAAGATCATAAAGGGGTGCAAGGGAGATGCTTCCCTGCTCCCATCAGCTTCTGTCTGTATTTTTAACAACACATTCCTCCCTTCATTACCTTAAAATCTCACCACAGCACAGCTTCCCTCTGCAGCACAGCACCAGCCGTGCTGCCCTCCAGCCTCTGCCACCTCCCCTGTGTAGCAGTGTGCCCTTCCCAAGTCTGCACACAGGCTCTTCCAGCGCTCCCCTCGTGCAGGAAAGGGATGCAAATACTGGAGGTACCACAGCACAAAGTGTGCATCTCAAACCCCTCCAAGATCTCTGTGGGAGAGCTGCTCCAGGCTGGATTGAACACAGCAACTGCTGTTCCGCACCTCTCTCCTCCTGCGAATCATGCATCCAGCCCTTGGCTCTTAAAGCTTGTCTGAACATCCCACCTTCCACCTGAGCATCCAACAGCAACAGGAAATATGCACTGCTTCACTTCCCCCCCCCAGACTCAAGAATCTGACTCGTCTTTCAAAATCAATAATGTTCTGGCTGAGAGCTGCTCCAGTGGAGGTGCAATCGCTCCCTTCAGTGCCCAGCAGCCTCCCTCTTCATGATTTACAAATACTGCTGTCCCCTGCTTGCAAAAACACTCCTGCCTTTTCCTATGGTTGATGCAGCAAGTCTCTGCTTCCAAAGGCTGGCACTGAGCGAGGCTGCAAAGGGCAACACACATCTCCACTGCCCAGGCTGGATCATGCTCATAGGCGAGGGAAAGCGTCGTGGGAAATTCTGCAGCTAGCAATGCTGTGGATAATTTTAAACCCCAAAACACAACTAGTCCCTGCTGGGTGCAGGATGGGCAGGCCTGCGGCCGCAGGGGTAGGTAGGCAGATGCAGAGCAAAGCCTCTCACTCACTTGCTCAATTTAACATTGAAACCAGAATGAGCTGTGCTAAATGTCTCCACCACTAACAAGAAACAAATGTGGCCTCATGTTCTAGTTGCTGTGATCTAACAAAACAGACCATGGTAAACACTATAAAAATGTACTGGAGGGAACCACCCTGTGTTTGCTGGGAGAGGGACTGGATAATCTAATAGGACTTTATCCATCTCTAATGTCTCTGAAAAAAAGAAAGGAAAATTGGGCCCCATCCATGACATTCGTCATGTGCTAGCTATTCTGATGTCTTAATGCTGCAGAAATCAAATTGGAGTGAGGCTACCTATCTGCTTCCCAATCAGGATCTAGGCCCAAGTGCTGCTTTTTATGGCCATGCAGCGTGAGGAGCTGCTGATGTCAGTGGTAGCACAAGCCAGGCCAGTTTTTCCATCCCCATCCCCACATTATCTGGGGAGATAGTCCCTTTGTGGCCACCTCACTCTCCTCATGACGTGAATAATCACTCACTTCGTGGCCTGTGGATCCACCAGTGTGACTTGCCTCTGGCTGAAAGCATTCACAGGGATAGGAAACCTGCCCAGAAAGTTAGCTCTTATCTGATCACCTGGGTATCGCTGGTATCAGCAGCAACACTGCCATGGTCGTGTCTAGATTTGTATCTTGGCCATGATAACGGCAAGGACTGACTCAGCACCCACCCCTAGGCACCTCGTGGTGCCCTGGTATCTGCTCTGCCCTTAACCAAAGGGTTAAGGGTCTCCTCTAGCACCAAATCTGACGGCCTCATGGGGATCTCATACACCCTCCAGCACTTCAGATGGATTTATAAGCCTCTGCTTGAGTGTCACCAAAGTCACTCCCACCCAAGTCATTCTCCTCCCACACCTTTGCCTGTAGGAAGAGCCTTGGGCAGGCTCTGCAAGGCAGGAACACCCTTCTCACCCAGCTCCCAGGAGCCTTGTCCCTGTCATCATGCTGACTGCCCTTTCCAGAGGGAGGAGAGACACAGACCCTGCTCTATTGTTGCACAGAGCCCAGGCTGCACACAGCCAGGCTTTCCACATTCACTCCATCCACATTTTCAAGCACCTTGGGTTTGCTGTTTGCTTTTTTAAAGATACTATGACCTTGGCATGGGGACGCACAAACATCAACTGCCAGAAAATAGTATGTTCTGAAAGGCTACGCAGAGCACAACCACAGCCCCATCACAGCCTGCAAGCAAAGATCTCCATGTGGCGAGGGGGGAAAAGCAGCATTTGGGGAGCTCAGAGAAAACACTGCAGCTCCTTGCTCAGCCCAAGAGACGACGCCTCCACGCGCTCCTCCAGCTCTTACCTGGCCCTTCCCGCGCCGCCGGTAATTCCTTCTCACAAGGTTCTTGTAATTCTCATTCTTCTTGGTCAGGTAGTAGTAGAGGACGCAGTCAGCCACCGTCTGCAACGACACAGGCAAGTCAAGGAACAGAAGGTCCTGTCCCCGTGCTCTGCTGGGGCACAGACTTCCAGGAGCAGCATTCAGGCCCTGCCATCACCAGGTCTCCTGCTGCTCCTGAAGACCTGCAGCCCAACAGCTTCCCTTCACCTCCCTCCCAAAGGCCTCTGGAGCTGGAAGAGAGGGGCAATGCACAGTGTCCTAGTGAAATGGCTCAGCTCTTCCAAGGGGCAGAGCAGGGCAATCCCGCAGGCGTGCAGAGACAGAAATGGGGTGCTGAGCAGAGAGCACCCTGTGTTGCAAGCAGAGCAGGGGGAAGGGCTGACCCCAGATGACCGTGGCAACTCGAGGCAGAAGGAGCTGCCTGTCACCCTCTGTTGCAGTTACACGAGGCACAACCTGCCACACGACTGTCAGCTGCTGTTACTTCCAGCCAGTAAACTCACTGGCTCGAGCGCGCACAACTTTCTCGTGGACAGATTGAGATCTCAGCCCTCAGAGCTGCCACCCCAACTCCAACTCCAGGGGTCAGCTCTGCAAGCACCATCCCAAACTGAACACGCTGAGAAAACAACGAGCTGTGGGCAGGACATATGCTGCTCCTGAACAGCAGAGAGCATGCCACACTGGGAAAAGTCCTTTGCTGAACTGGGTGGGCACCTGAACACTGGTCTTGGGCTACACCTTTCCATACAGCATCCATGGCTGCACGAAGAAAAACAATCCCACAGACCCATCAGGCCACAGGAGCCAGGGGCAGCTGCGTGCGCCCGGGGGTGCCTGGGGGCTGTGCTTGCCCCATCCCTTTTGCAAGGAGTAGAACCATTTGCAAAAACAGATTGCAACTTTTAAAGTGTTAATTGGATCTCTTTCTAATCTAGCCCTGATTATACACACACACGCGAACACAAAAACTTACAGTCATCTGTTCCAAGGGCTAAGATCACTATTTTTTTATAATGCAATTTTAAAATCTATTAATTCATTACATTGAGCCATACTTTGCATCTCTCTCCAACAGGATAATGGATGTGTTCTGTATCATAATTACAGCCTGATTTACAAACGAGTACAAATAAAATTAGAAGACATTTTACAGCTTGGAACACAGACTGGATTGTGAGCATCATCCAAGTTCCACTGCTTTCGGTTTTAACAAGTGTGAAAGGCTGAAGAGCCTGAGATCTTACAGCAGCAGCAGCACGAGGTGGCTGCTGGCCTTTGCTTCCTTGCTGCTTTCAACAGGAAGGTCAAGGTCTTATGAACTGTTTCCCCAGCCTGAGTCATGCAGAATCAGAGAATAATTTAGGCTGGAAGGGACCTCTGCAGGCCACCTGCTAAGAGCAGAGGGATTCCCCTAGAGCGAGTGGACACTGTGTGGATAACACCCTGCATGAGATGAGCAGGGATGCAACAAACTACAAGGACAAGAGAAGCAGCAGCTCTCAAATGTTTCCTGCTCAGGAAAGCATCTGGGTGATGGACATTGCTGTCTTTCCAGGCTGGGTCTGGCCAGGACCTGCCAATACGGCCTGTACCACAGAAGGTACCTGGCTTTGCTCAGAACAGGACCAGCAACTTGCTTCTCCTTCAGATTTCCTTCTCAAACCTTCCTTCCCTCAGCCCAATTAACAGCAAAAAGGAAAAATCCAAGCAGCACAACACAGAGGCCTGGGAAAGGTCAGGCCCTCCAGTGAGCAAACTATTCCTAAACACCAAGGGGAGGTGTGTGTGCTTACACGACACCAACCCGAGCTGCTGGATGAAATGGGACTCAGCCTCCAGATCCTCTCCCTGAGCAAAGAGACCCCTTTGCTTTGTGCTGGGCAGCCGGACGCCCACCCCCTGCGTGACAGCCTGGCTGGTACAAAATGCCTCGGGAGATGCTGGAAAGCAGCTCCCCAGGCAGATCACGGGGTGGGCTGCGCCGCCCACGCGCCAGGCTGGCTGCGTTCACACTTCTCGAGGCTCCCAGCTCCCTGTCTCTCCGCAGCTGACTCAGTCCCTCATCCCTGCAGGGAGCCAGGAGGCGTCTGGACCATGCCCGGGGCTCGGAGCCACCGCCTCCGCTGGCACCTCCAGCACCAAGGGGAGCCGGGTGATGGAGGAGAGACAGCGTGATTCGGGTTAAAGCCAGGCAGGGAGGCTTACCTTCCTGTCCAGAAAGGATGCGATCAGGCCAAAGTTCTTCGGATGCTGCATGAACCTGCGGAGCGAGAGGGAGAGGGTTAGTATTGGTGCTGGCTCCAACCCCCTCACAGCTGGGCTGCTGTGCCCTGTGCCCCTGGAGCAGCGAGGCCAGATCCCTGAGGGACTGCAGGGTTTGAGAAAATATTTGTCTGCTGCTGTTCAGCTTCCCAGAAAGACAGGAACTTTAAATATAGCCCAGTGGAGCTGGGCTGGTTGGGAGCTTCGATGTGCAGATGTTCATCACAGGGTGGGAGAGGGCAGGGGGGTCCTGGCAATGCCTGTCATCTTGCTTGATCCCACAGCCCCCGAGCCCTTAGCAATGGCAGGATGGGCACAGAGGGCTGAGACCTCAGAATTTGGCAAGTAAAGGGTGAGGAATTGCCATCATACCCCACATCATGGCCATGGGTGGCCCCCACCGCTGAGCAGGACTCCAAGCCCTGCTGTGCTATTGGGAGCAGCTGCAAAGGACAGGAAGGGAAACCCAAAGCCCAGGAGGAAACAGAGCTGCCACGTTGCTGAATTGCTCAAGAGATCCCTGGTGGCACAGCAGCTCCGAGGAACGCCGCCTCGTGCCCAGCAAGCGGAGGAGCTGTCAGCAGGCTCATCCATGGCTCTGGCAGCCCGGGAGGGTACATCACCGGCTCAGGGGAAACTGTCTCCAGGCACAGAGATGCCTCCTCCAACAAATCCCTGTGCCTAGCTGGTGTGGAAACACTGAGGGCCAGTAGGCCCTTGGCATGAGGTGGTCCTGCTGGCAGCACAGTTAACTGGTGCATCACCGAAGCGCGGGGAGCCTGCTGAGTGGTGACACTGTGCCAGGGCTGGAGCACAGCACTGGCCCCAGAGGAGAGGCAGCACCAGCACGGGCTCTGCCCCAGGGAGCTGAGTGGTCAGGGCCAGCCACGTTCAGCACGTGCACCTCTCCCAGCTCCCAATTGCTGACAGCTCTGTGCCCTGGGGAAACAGATCGGAGGCAAAAGGTGGGGGAGCTGTGGTGTGGGTGTAACGTGGGCGGGATGTGGTGAGCAGCTTGGTGTCTCCAGCCCTGCCAGTGATTCCCCTGAGGCTGAGCTCCCTTCTCCTGCCTTTACTGCTCTGCCCCACTGCCAAACTCCAGAGCTCAGCGAGGGCCTGACTCACTCCAGCCATGAGCGTGGGATGTGGGTGCTGCCACCCACATGCCGATGCCTTTCTTGATGCAGGACCCTATTTGGATTGGGCGGTAGTGCAAGAACCCTGTCACCGTAACTAGTCACCAGAGCCAAAAAGAAACCAGAAATGCTAGAGGGAGGAAAAGAAAGGAAAAAAGCAAAGCAGCTGGGCTGCTCGAACAGCCTGGGATCAGAGCACGGAGCTGGAGCCAGCACCTCACACTGCACACAGCACAGATCAAGGGATGATCACGGGACAGGGTTTTCCAGGCTGTGGTATCAATCATGCTAACACACTGTCAGGGGCAATGAAGATGACAGTCCACTCTTTTTCACGGGCCAGGCCGTGTCCCTGTGACCAGAGGTGGATGCTGCATTCTTACAGTGCCCAGCACAACAGGACCTCGATGCCTGAGCACATCCTGCTCCTTCACCAGCAAACCACAGCTTCCCGGGGAGTAGGCCAGTGATGGGTTCTTGATAGAGACATGAAATCATGCCCAGAAGCAAATCAAATCAGACTCTTCCTCGTGGTTATGCTCTGTCTGTTAAAATAGTTCAGACCTGGAACCTGTTGGCCTTGCAGTGCCTGGTTGTTTACTCCAAGAGCCCCCGCCAACAGGGCTGAACAAAAGGTTGCACCAGGTTTTCCTGGTCTCAGGAGGAGGCCAGCTCTGGGTCACAGTCACAGATGACACAACTCCAGTTCACCTTAAAAACCCAGGCTAGAAGCTGCAGCACAGCAGGCAGCACAGCTACCTGCACACCAGGATGGGGGAGAGCTGGGGCAGGACTCCCTGCACCCTGCTCACAGCTCCTGAGTACCAATCTCTGAAAATGAGCTTTGTGAGAGCCCTGAAACCCTGCTGTATTTATGCCTCCAGCTCTGCATCACCCACGGTGATGACACAGAAACCACCGTGCACAGCAGGATGCACACACTGGGTGTGGATTCTTCCAGCCCCATTAGCCAGGCACGGCCCTGCCATTAAAGCCCAAGTAATTAGCCTTTGCGTCATTTGCGGCAAGCCTTGCTGTTTGGAGTGGCACATTTTAAGGGTAATTAGCAATGAGGATTCTCCTCTACCAAAGGCTTGGAGCTGGTTTGCTTGTTTTGTTCTTTTTGGGTCCATCTCGGCAATTAGTTATTTCAGCTGCAAACAGGAGTTGTGACAAGCAGGGATGGGAGGAGGGATCTGGGACACAGAGAGGCTTCCAGCATGGCAGGCCTGCTGGTAATCCACGGAGCCATCCCATCATTGTCCAGAGACCAGACTAAGGTGGTGCTGCTGCAAGGGACAAAGTAGCCCTGGCACACCCACATGCCTCTACCTCCCTCGTGTCCACAGGAGTAAGCCCCAGCAGGGCTCATCCTGCTGGAAGCTGAACTTCAGTTCTGTTTTTACAGACACACGTGGCACACTGGGGGCACCAAGGATGCTCCAGACTTCCATGCAAACACACCTGGGGCCCTGCTGGGCTATGGGATACCGGAGAGTCTGATGTGAGACTGAGCTGGGACCCACAGCTTGGCTGGCAGCATGGTGGTACCCAGGGAAGGGAACAGCAATCCCCCAAGTGAGCTCAGCTGATAGAGCAAAGCTGTTCTCGAGCACTGCTTGCAAACAGGAGAAAGCACCACAGCCAGAGTCTGCACGTGTCTGATGTGGGAATGCATCCATGGAAACAGCAGCCGGTGGCAAATCCTGCAGACAGCAGGATGGAGCGCTGAGGGACAGGCACCAGCTGGAAGCTGCAGCCTGGGGGGGTCTATGTAGAAGGGGGTTGGATGTTGACAGTCCTAAGAATTCCCCTGGACATGCAGTGCCCAAAGGACAGCACATAAATCCAGAAAGGTGATGTGTACAGAGCACTGGGTTTCACTGGTGTTATCCTTAAACTGGCTGATACAACAGGGAATGCAGAAGCAGAAAAACTTTCCGTTCTCACCCTGTCATGAACAACAGCTCCCCACAGCTCAGCACATGGGTACAAACACACCAACTACACAGCAAAGCCTCAGGTTTCTGTGCAGGTGCATCACCCTGTGCCCATGTCCAAGGCAACACAGTGACTGTGGCTGTGTCCCTGGTGGGCCAGACAAGCCCATGGGAAATTCATGTCTTAGTGTGCTGTGGCCCTGGTGGAAGCCCTGCATGGATCCTGCCCATAACCCCCCAAAGACCACACTGGGAGTGGTGTGTGGGCTGCACTCACTTTTCCCGGAAAGTCTCCTTCTCCTGTTCACTCCACATGTTCATCACCTGCCGGTCCTTGTAGACCTTCATGGGGTCATCCATGAGGCCGTTCATGTTGATGAATTTAATGCGCTGCTGGTCAGCATCGTAGAGCATGGGCGGGATGACAGCGAGCTGGCGCATCTGCTTCTCCAGGTTCTGTGGGGAAAGCAGAGAGAACAGTTGGTCAGCACCACGGGCCCGCGGGGACTGCAGGGGACAGATGTTCGAGAGGAAAAGGACAGGCGGAGGAACAGGAGAATTCAAAAGCAAGCACTAGACAGCTTTATTGCTAGAGTAATTGTAAATTAAACACTGAGAGAGGCTATCGCTGTCAGCCAGGAAACAATTAATCTTTTATTTTGGAATAAAAGGCTTCAAGATCCTGCGTGGAAATGTCTGACTTCAGCAAAACAGTTCCTGACCGCGACAAGAGACAAGTCAAACCAGCAGTGGAATTCCCACACAGGGAATGCAGACCCCTTCCCAGACATCAGACCCACGGCCACAGGGAGGTTCAGCCCCCACCTCAAATTGAAAGGGAAGTGGGTCAGGTCTGCAAAGCTCCTGAAAGGGTGGTCAGAGGGAGACACTGCGTTTCCCTTCCACAGGAAACTTATGTTGTTCCAAGAGGTTTCAAATGTCTCCATAATGGGGTTGTAATTTCTTTTTTCCCCCTCTTATTGCAACACCCTGGGACATAATCTGATGTCTTTACTCCATCCTATGGAGCACAAAGTTCATCCAGAGCCCCAGCTGCACATCAGGACAGGACAGACTGGGCACACTGGTTTCCTTAAATATTTGCAACAGGGAGGGCAATGTGATGTCTCATTTGTGCTGTCCTCTGCCCGAATGCCAGGACTGTCCCTTTGGCTGAACTGCTGGTGGTCCCCCAGCACAGGTCCATCCTGTGGGCATGAAGGGATGCTCTTGCCACCTTTTCATTAGCACCATCACTCTGTGTCCTCCCTGTCACCTGGGATGGCATTGCTCAGACAAACTCCAACCCTTGACCTGGGAAGGCCAGGTCTCAAGTGCTGTTGTTTTAATTTACAGCCAGATGCTAGTTCCTGGGACAAAACAGTAATGTCAGATCCTGCCAGCAAGCTGCTGATCCTGGCATGCACAGCACCACTCTGCTTCCCTGCTGCACCTGATCAGACCCAACCTCCTCCTAAAACACAGCTCTCTATGGAGACACAGACATTTCAACACATTTAATCACCTTCCTCATCCTCACTAGGACACCTCCCGTTTAGCAACTGGCTGCTCCACATGCCTGGGGGTGTCACCTCATGGTGGGAGGTCAGGGACAGCTCGCAGCCAGGGCATCGACCCAAACAACAGAAGCTGCCCCTGGCGACAGGAGAGGCTCCCACGCAGAGCAGAGAGGCAGCTGGTGGGAGCACTGCCTGCAGCTGAGGGCACAGGGCCTGTCCCCTCTCCTGGCAGGGTCTCGGGGTGACAAGCACTGCTGATACACTCCAGCAGCCAGACCTCTCTCCTCTCCAGCAATGTGCTGGCCCTGCTGCCAGGGATGCTCCCCAGCTCTCACCTCCCTGGCTCCTTCCAACTCTGTAGAAGAGCTGGAAGCTTTTAAGGTCTCCTCTGAGACATGCAAAGCAGTGATTTGGGGCTCAGCAGGCAGCTGTCGGGGTGGAGTTTAGCAGCACACTGTGCTGGAGGTTGGAGGCGATCAGCTAACGCTCCACTTGGCCACAACCTCTGCAGAGCTGTGAAATTTCCCTCTGCTTCCAAGATCTGCGTCCACCAGGTTGTCTCCTTAACTGGCTATGAGCAAACTGCCTGGGACCCTGGGCAGGGATCGAGTCACAGTGTGGAGGCAGCAAACATCCCAGCTATTGCTGGGCAATGGCTGCTCTCCCCTCCCAAACATGATCCATTCACTGCAGCTTGCCTCCGTGCCAAGAGAGTGGAACCCTTGTGAAACCAGATCCAAACGAAGCCGAGGTCACGGGGATGTTTCAAGATGAATGGAGCACTCCCAGAAGATGTGGGCCAACTGGCTCACGTACAAACCATTCATTCCATAGGATTCCCCTGTGTCAAGCCACACAGCCCATTCAAAACAAAACGAAACAGAAAAACCCCTCCATCCGGCAGCCAGGGCGCCAGCTCCCTTCCCTTCCCACCTCTGCTTCCAGTATAAACCACAGCCAGGAGGTGTTTGTGGGGTGCTACCCAGGGCAAGCAGCACACTGGGGTTTCAAGTTTGTAAGAGGCAGCCAAATGCTGATAAACACAACCCACTGGCCACCAGCTCCTGGGGCACTTTGCTCCATGCAGAACCTGCAGAACCAACACACAGCTCCATTACATCTCTCAGGTGACTGGAAAGATGCTGCTGGGTATTAAATGAACACCTAACTTTGGATCCTGTCCAGAAAGTCTGTCATCATCATGGCAACCTTCCCAACCTCAGCGTGGCCTAAAATAGGTAGGATTTAGCATAGGATTTCACCGTGTGACCTGGCAGTACCCTCTTGGCTTCCTCAGAGAAGACAGAGCGAAGGGTGAAGAGAAGGAGAAAGGATAACCTGGTCTTACCTCTTGTTCTGAGAGCCCCTCGATGATTTCTGACACCTCGTGCTCGCTGCGTGCGGCTGACATAGAGAGCCCACTGCTGCCCCTCTGTCCTACCCTGCTGGGAAAGGGCAGTGACATACTCAGGCACTCATGTTCCATTTCATAAGCAGCAAACCACATTCAAGACAACTATGACCTCCATAATAGCCATATCCCAACACCCCACCCAGGCAACCCCATCCTACGCTGCAGGAACAGCATCCGCGTTTAGGGCTCACAGGTCAAGAGCCTCAAACCACCTTCCTTACCTGTGTCAGCTTCCTGGATTGCTAGAACACAAAGACATTTCATACCCAGCCACACTCTCCCCCATATTTTCTCCTGTTGATTCCACCACAGCAGTGGCTCAAAGGTGTCAGCATTAGCACTGAGCCATTAGCACTGTGCCACCACATCTGGTTTGCAAATGCTGTGGGAAGTTTGAAGCCAAACCCATCCATTGACATCTTTTCCCCCAGTATCAATCCCCCAAGGTATCAGCCACACATCCCAAAGAATTACAGCTTTTCTTATTAAGCAGATAAAAAATGCAAACATTTCTCAGTACCGTTTCTCCCTTTCTCTTTAAGATAAAATAAAGCCATCAGTTGGACCCAATCCAGTTGTTAGTGGGGCACAGGGATGGGATGCTGGCAGACAGTTTGGATTCTGCACACATCTGGTATCCCCAGGCAAAATCCTGGGGCTGAAATGGGAAGGACAGGGAGTTTTCAGCAAAAAGGGTGGAGATCATGAAATCGTGTCTCCTCCTGGCAGGAAACAACATGACCTCAATTGCACTTCCAAAGAGGAGAAGAAAATGGACAAGGGATGGGAGAGACAGGGGACATCCCTCTCAGCAAGACATTTTGCTCCCTTCATATGGTTTGCAGTCATTCCAATAACCTCTGCAGATGTTTCTTCTCCCTGCCCATGCTCCCGTTAAAGCATGTGCATGTAATAAATCATCAACATGACCAAATGCATCTGCAAGTCTTGCACATCTTAATTTGGGCCCAGCAGTGAGGCAGGAATTAGTGCTGTCCTAGCCAGGTGGCCAACACAAGGGAGCTGCCCCTGGCTCCGACATGGCCAGCTGGGAGATCAGCAGCAGAGGTGAAACAGGCAGTCACATTCCAGACATTCTTCCTTCTCTCTTGGCTCCGTGCTAAGCCACCCTGGGGAAAAAGCAGCAATGCTGCTTGTCTGCTGGCTTCTGCCTTCGACTAGAGAGGGAGAAATGGGACTGAGAGCCATCCCAGCCCGCTCCTCCTGCAACACACCCCACACCCATCCCCAAAGAAAAAAGAAAGGCTGTCTGATACCAGCTCAGCCCCTTCCTACCGCTTCTCCTCTAACCTCTGCATGCGCTCTTGCAGTTCCCGCTGCTTCCGGATCTCCGGGAATTGCTTCTCATAGTATTCCCGCACTTTGCTCTCTTTGGCACGGCGCCGCGGGTTATTTTCGATGCGCTCCACTTTTTTTTCCCAGGCCTCCATCAGCTGGTCATAGCGCTGGCAAAACTTCTGTTCCTGAAAGGGCAGAGCGAGAGAGGGAGCTCAGAGACGTGCCTGGGAAGGGCAGCTCCTCCAGGCCTGGCCCTTGATGGTTGCTCAGCCTGAGCATGAGTCATGTTGCTTAAAGAAATGCAGTTTATTAGGACATGGACATGCTCCAGGGTCTGGGACCAACCCAAGGGTGAATTCTCTAAAGAGGCCATCAGATACCCTCAGGCTCTTCCCTTCCAGTCCCAACATCTCTGGTGGAACTAGGACTCTCGCCCAGTGTGGCTTTGCCCACCCCTACATCTTCTGCCTGAGCATCCTCTGGTGCCTTGGGTGCTTGATTCAGCAGAGGAGGGAGAGCCTGCTCCATTCACCAGGAGACAGCAAGGAGCCTGCCTGAGGCCACCAAGCGTGGAGGAACTGAAACATGGCCCTGGGAGGAGGCACAGGGGGCAGGAGAGCAGGTCCCCACCATGTGATCATGGTGTGCAGGGGTGCAATTTCGGAGCTGGCAGCTCTCTGTGCTGAGGAAGGGCTTGCCCAGAGCTGGGCACCCCTTCCCACCCACACACACCAGTTCTGGCATTCATGGCTCCGTGCTGGCAATGACAATGGGACTGGGGCCATGGAGCAGCTCCATGCATGGGCCTGGCTCCCCAAAATTAAGAGCCAGGCACCCAGCCCCTGTCCCTGTCCAAGGCCATATAGCACAGTATCCTGGCCACTGCGTGACGCCCACCAGCTCCTTCACCATCCTGGAAAGCAAAAGCATTTTTCCAGCTGCTGCCGCTGCTTTTTGGCCTAGGAGTGGGACAAGCACATTCCACTGACAGTGAACCCAGGATCTGCCAAAATGTGGCACCGCATAGCGTTTCCACACCACGTCCCCCTGGGTGACATCCTCATGGCACACGCACCCAGCCAGTCCAGCACTGCACTTCTGCCTGGTATTTATAGGACCAGCCTGGTAACATTAAAATATGACTTGCAGCACAAATGAGCCTTCTCCCACTACCCTCCAAATCTCTCCTCCTTCCTCCAGCCATGCTCATCCTGGAGGGTAACACCTACAGACAGGTGAGGTCCAAGGTGGGAAGATGCCTGTCCAGTCCCCAACAGCAGTGGCAGCAGTGATGGTGCACAGCCTCACGTGAGAACAGCTGGGTGACCAGAGGGGTTTTAAGGTTTCATTTTGAGTCAGAAAAATGTCTTCCAAGCCCCAAATCAGGAAGCAAAAGCAGATGTTACTCTGCAAAATAATCAACAGCAAACCACAGGTTGCTCCTGCCTCCGAGACCACTTTCCAGAACGGACAGCTTGGTACTGGCACACTCAGCACCACACTGGCATGGTGGCACCATTTCACATGGTAAATCTGGATTTCAAAGAAATAAGCTCTTCCCTTGCCACTGCTGCCCCATGACCAGAAGGAAGTTTGGGGCTGCAGGATTTCCCAGATGCACTCTGCTCTCATCCTGCTTGCTCTTGGTCACCAAAAAAATGGAGAGAGGTAAAACACCCTCCAAACTGATGGGAGCACCTGATTCCAGGTCAGGAGGTAGCTGGGCTACCCCCAGGCTGGGTCACTTGTGCTGTGGACTCTGAACACCAGCAGTTCCATGGCCCATCACTGATTCCAGGCACCTGCAGCAACCTGCAGTCAACATCATGCCAATCCTGGCACAGGGGCTTGGTCCAGCCACCTGGCAATAATCCAAGCACAGCAACATGCCTTTGATCTCTGTGGCCTTTTGAAGGCACCTCAACAATAATGTGAGGCAGACAAAGCACCTCAAGACCCAGAGCTGAGCCAAACTAACACCTTCCCCTGCAAATAAATCAATTCCTATTAGCATGCCTGGAGCCAGAGACTGTCTTGTCCTGCACAGATGCACAGGAGGTGCCTGGGTTTTGGCAGGAACTAAAGGAAACAGCCACAAGATGAAAGTGAGGAAAAAATTAAAACGCCCTAAAAGCCAACATGAGGAATCTCGTGCTGCAGGCGAGGAGCTACAGGTAACACCAACAGCCCGCGGCGGCGCGGAGAAATCACAGCTGCTGCGTTTTCACCCCTCCCAAAGCAATGCCATCAGCCCCCTGAAAATGAGAGCTCCCACCCTGCCAGCAAATCTGCTACATCCTCCTGCTTTCAGAGCATCACATTTGGGAGGAGGCTAAAAATACCCTGCAAAGTTTATGAAGCCTCAGCACCAGGAGGCAGCCAGTGCCCGGTGCTGCTGCCAGACTGCGGCACGGCCAGGGAAGAGCCCAGCACGAGGGCTTGGTCTGGTGAGAAGCCTGGAGGCTTTGAAAGGTTTGTCATTCCCTGTGGGAATGAGCCAGTGCTGGGTCCCACATTGCCACCGCCCCAGCAGAGCCACCTGGCACAGCCCTGGCTGCTTCACAGCCTGCAGGGTGGCTCTTCTTCCTCCTTTTCCTCCACTCCTTGGAACAACTCGACCTAAGCTGTATCCAGAATTCCTCTTTTAAGGAACTGGCATTTGCAGATGGAAAAAGGAACATCAACGTCACACTGCTGACTCCCCAGCAGGTCACACCCTGGCAGCAGGGTGACAGTACCAAAGCTCTCCCCTCACACAGCTCAGCCCTCCAGAGCACAGCTTCGTTAGGGATGAGCTGAGCACTTCCACAATATCCTTTCCCACCGCGGAGCAGAGAGATCCTTCTGGCCACACAAGCTTCAAACCCCACTGCAGCAGGGCTGGGCTGCAGCACCCCCATCCTGCGCTTTTTCCTCCAGCTGGGACACACACTGCCTGCAATCTCTTGCCATCCTTCAAAAGCAAAGATTACAGGCACCTTACAGCACCGTGAACTCCCCAGATCTTCACAGTTCCATCACCAGGAGAAGCTCTGGGTCAGGCACTTCAGGAACAGAAGCGTCTATTCCTTCTCCAAGCATCCTCTGAGCAGCCCTAAGCAAGTGTGTCCATTCCTGAGCAACCATCTGTGCTGGCTCTTAGCATCGGTGCTTCCTCTGCTCCCCTTGCTGGCTGGGCTCACCAGCCCATCAGCCTCTCAATCACACCATAAGTGATAGCAAGCCAAATCGGACCTGACATGCGTAGCTAAAAATGGATGAATAGTAACGCCGCCGTAGCAGCTGAAGGCAGTTTGGAGGCTGTGCCAAGCCCGAGCCCTCCTGCAGCCCACGCTCTCGCAGCTCCAGGGAACAGAGCAGCTCTTTGGAGGGGAGGGGAAGAGCGAAGGTGACAGGAGGAACCAGCCCAATGCCTATGAAAGCCCCACGGTTTTCTTTCCCTTGGCTGACAGAGATAAACCTCTCACACCCAGAACAGCTCCCTTCACCGTTCCCTCTCTGCAGCATCACCCCGACGGCAAATTAAATGTCTTCTGCTGTGTTGACCTCAGCGTTGGCAGGAGGAAGCCCTGCAGATCCTCTGGGATGGGGCTCTCGGGGTGGGACCCTGTGGGGACCAAGCTCTGACCCTGCTCCAGCCAGCCCTGGGCAGTGACAATACCCCAGAAAGTAAAAGAGCCGGAGCGAAACGCTGGCACGTAGATGGGCTTTGCTAAAAATAGGGTCTGCTACAAAATAGGCAGAAAAATAGCTAAGCGTACCCATTTTGCAAACAGAATCAGCAAATGTATTCACTTTGCAAATTCAGCAACCGTATGTTGCCTATTTTGTAGAATAGGCAAAATGCTTCCCTAAACTGAAAAATCCCCTTTCAAGGACACTGAATAAACCGGCTGGCAGAAATTCACCTATTTTGCATGACAGGCGACTTTACTGCAAGTCGTATTTTAGGAACTCTGCTCTTGCTGCCTAATTAAACCTTTTCCCCCAGCTCCTTGATATTCACACAGAGAGGCTCACTCTAGGTTTAGCACAGTAACTGGCCATTTTCACCAGAAAGCAGCTCCCGGGCACTTCCCTCCCGATTCCAATAAAACCACACGATGCTTTACTATCCCTGTTTTGAGCAAGGGAATATTAATCCACTTCCCACCATGCAGAAGTCCTCAGGTGAGGTGCCCTGAGCAGCACCTGACTGCCACAACACATCCTGCTG